AAATCATATGAATGAAAAATATAGATAAATTTTCTTTGATATATACTTTATCTTTTTGTCTGTAACATATGACAGAATTTTGAGGAGATAAAATTAACAGCAGTGGTAATATAAAATCAACAGTAATTCTGCAAAAAATAATTATAAGTAAAAAAGAGACATGCTTGAGTAATTTATGGGTCAGATCTAAAGGAAAGCTTTCAAGGTCTCTTTGGGGTCATTATAAAGAAAATGTGAAATAAGTATGATTCTAAAATGAATACTTGTAATCAAAAGATATTTAATGTAATTTTAAATACTTTATGTTGAGATGAATCACAGTTACGTTTCAATATATAAACAAATAGTCTCTAATTTGCTTACAGAATTGAAAAATACTTTGAAAAACCCTGTTTTCCCTTTCTTTTCTTTTTTTTTTTTTTGGTATCTCACATATTAAGAAGTTTGGCATTTTCTTATCCTTATGAATCCCTCCTTTTATTCCTCCCTCCTTTTTCCTGATTACAAATACATGTGTTAAAATATTAATGATTTTTAAATAGAAAATGTGAAGCATCAACAACTTGTCTTAAAGATTTCAGAATACTCAAATACCCTAGGGCAGTGGTCGGCAAACTCATTAGTAACAGAGCCAAATATCAATAGTACAACAATAGAAATTTCTTTTGAGAGCCAAATTTTTTAAACTTAAACTATATAGGTAGATACATTGTTATTAACTTAATTAGGGTACTCCTAAGGCTTAGGAAGAGCCACACTCAAGGGGCCAAAGAGCCGCATGTGGCTCGCGAGCCGCAGTTTGCCGACCACGGCCCTGGCTCAAAGACAATTTTAGATGCCCCAGGATCAATGACTTCTGTGATTCCCCATTGTGTGTGTCCAACACGGGGGATTGTATGGACCTTATTTTGGTTCATACAAATCTCAGAAGATTTTGTTCAGATTATAAAACAATTTTAGTAGTATCCTAAATTCAAGTAATTATGGAATTACTCATATGTTCTGCATATCAGATATCCCTGTAACCTTTAGGTGTGCTCAACTCTCTGGAGAACCACGCTAGGTTTACTCATTCTGCTTCCATAGCAAGTCTTTTTAGCCAATATGAAGCCCTGGGAACAATGTTTTTTTCTGGATCTATTATAGTTGCAAAGCATATGAAAAATGCAACCCATGCTGCATGTGCATTTGTGATGACTCTTAGCTATGTAGGAAAATATTTTTGGCTTGAAATATGTCATGTCACATTGTAACAATCTGATATTTGTGTCACTTATATAAAATATCATACCTGTTTGTCAACATGTAAGGTCCTAGGGACCTTATACATAGAGTTAAAGTAGGCACTGTGCAGCCATGATATGATAAGATATATCATGGATGTGGAGCTGAGAGCTGGAAGAGCTAGGTTCAAGTTCCAGCCCTTGCATTGACTGCTTTTGTTACTTTGACCATGTCACTTAACCCCTCTTAGCCTTGGTTCCCTTGTTTGAAAATGGGAGTATTACCTCCTATTTCAATGGTTTGTTGTGAATTTTGTTTATTCATTATTCAGACTGTAGCTCACTTCACAAAAAAATTTGAAATGACGTGTAGATTTGAAGATCAAATATATTTGCTCGTGCTTTGTAGATTATACAAATGTAAACTATGAGCCATTACTATTGGGACCATTTGGATTCTTAGAATGAAAGTGCTTCGAAGCAGCTGTTCCAGACTTCTATGTAATAATTTCAAATGAAACAAGTATTTATCCATAGATATTTGTTGACATAGACTGGTTATTGGTACCAATTCAAAATAAATCTATGAGAAGGGTATTTCAAGACCTTTTGATGGAAGACCATTTGCAACTAATATGAAAAAATACCATATTCTCACAAACGTAATGCCTGTTACTTGAAAAGACTATATATAATGACAAAAAGCTCTTAGGGATTAAGTGACTCTTTTCAATACATTTGTATTTTGTTAATCATAACAAACATTCACAAATACTTGAGAAAGAGTAGACTTCATAGGTGTGAGTCATTTTTATTCAGTGTCAAGATGATGGTTTTGTTGCTCTTGGAATTAGGGGCTGCCTCCCAGTCACACAGTGGCTGTGAAACATTAGTGGCCTAGCAGTTCCTGCAACTCCTTTTATTATCATGTACCATTTGCTTCAATCTTGGGTTACTAACCATGCTTATCTGCCCTCTGCATCTAAAGCCCTTCTGCATGCCAAGCCCTTCTGAACAAATCAACTGATTTACTCCTAACTGATTGCTGTTTATCTCAAGGCAGCCATGATCCCCTCTCCTCCTTCCCTTTGTCCAAGTGAAATAGAACTTCAGGACAGAAAAGAGTGGCTATTTTGCCACAACTCTTCCCATTCCCAGGACTTAATTTTACCTGGAGAGGAATTACTAGGTGTGTTAGGAATTGCAGCAAGGTTTAGGCCATCTCTCTTGTCATATACTTTAGGCTCCTTTGATTCCTCCTCCCCCTAATATCTATCTAGTATATTCAGCTGATAGTAAAATTGTTCATCTAGTTCAGTTTACCTGACGAGCATGCTTGCTTTTCCTTCTTTTCTAAAAAATTAATTAAGTTAGCCTCTGTTGTCTTTTTAATTTTAAAAAGAAAATCTACTACCTAAACAGTGAAACTATACATTATAGTTCATGTTACACAGGGAAACTGTAGAAATCATGGAATAAGTATTTTCCCCTCATTCGTGGTAGCTGCATTCTCAGTGACTGCATGAGAAACACAGCCTTGAAAAGAGCTCTCCAATAAACATTATATTCAGCAATTATGATTTCTCTGAAAATTAATAGTCAGTGTTTGAGGACCCACACACAGGAGACAGTGTGTGCATATCAGTGGTTAAAATGCTTTGACTTCAAGGTAGGCGAGACCTTGCAGCTCAACTCTGTGTTTCCACTTACCAGCTGTGTATCCTTGAACAGTTATTTAAATTCTCTAAGACTTCATTTCCTCATATATAAAATAGTGATGATGTTTCCAACCTGCAGGATTTTCCAAGGATAAAATGAGGCAAACATGTAATGTGCCCAATAAAATGTCAGGCACATAGCAGGCACCACATAAATGGCAACAGCTGCTGGTGTTTTTTGTTGTTGACAAGCTGAGGGGGGGAAAAACTAACCTGGAAAGTTAGGTTTTTTTTTTTTTTGGTTGTTTTAGGATCCCTTCTGTTAAGATCAATTTAGAAAACTTTCCTCAGAAGCACCATAATCTCCAGGCAGGAAATAGAAGGGGAAGCTGGCATTCTGGCTTCCATGCTGGGAGCCCACAGCCCAAATTTGAGACTTACTTCTCTCTACTGTTTTGCAGCACCATGTAGTGAGACAGGACTACCTGTCCTGGGCAGGTTAGGTCACTTCACTGCACTGAACCATAAGTCACCTCACTTTTTATTACCAGAACCTCTTCATTGCCTGACCATTTCTTAATTTCATTTCTTAATATTATTCTTGCAAGGAATACAGAGTCTCTCTTCCCCTCTCCCTGTTCTCTCCTCCATGGAAAGAACTTAGCATCCCACTTGGGCACATTATAAAGCTGAAAGGGTTCAAGTTTATAATAATACAGTGAGTGATTGAAAGGTTGTCTATAGGCCTTCGTGTTCCTCTTCATTCCCCTTTGCATTTCCATGTAACCTTTCTTTCAAAGAAGCAGAACTCATCTTTAATTGGCCTTGTGCCATTCACTCTTTTGTATCTAATTGGCCTGCTGGTTTCCTTTGCTTAAATTGAGCATTTATCCATCACAACTGGCAGCGCATGTGACGGTGTTAAGAGGAAATTCCGCAGGACCCTCCCCGCACTGGGGAAAGGAAGCATCTGCTCCTTTCCTAACGGGATGCCGGGATTTAGAGGTCAATGTGTTTCTCCATCAAGGCTTAAGACTTTGGGGACCAGGGGAGTGTCAGGCTCCAAGCAGCATAATGAATGGCAGAGGCTGGCTGGCTAGGTTTGCCTGTTCTCTACAGCACTCTTTAGCATAATGAGCTGGGACTTAGCGTGCTAAAACCCGCCTGGCTTGGGGAGCAAGGCAGGCTGTGCCTCCTCCACCCCCCCCCCCTTTTATTCCCCCTAGTTCTGAACTGTATTTTCATCTTGGAAAAAATCATTTATATTGAGGTCTTCATTAGTGACACCGGCAGGGTTAAGGCTCCATGAGGGCTGATAAGCTCCATGGCCAAAAAAAAAAAGAAAACCCATCAGCCTTTACGCAGGGAGCTGAAGGTTTAAGTTGCTTGAACGGGAAAGAGTCTGAAGAGGTGATTATGTGAAGCAAGTAATGTGTATCGGTAACATGGAATCAAATGATTGGGGTCAGTAACTCCCTGGCTTTCCAAGTGCATTAAATGAAGACATAACCTTGCATTTGCACTGGGTATTTCTTGATGCTGCGTCCTGTCAGCACCGTCCGGCCCTATGTGCTTCCCAGCACATCACCTCTGATTTCATGGGATTATCTTCGCTGCTGCTTTAATAGACATTCATGATCTTAAGCTTCCTTTGAACTCACAGCAGGGCCATGCTAAGTCATTATTGTGAGCACTTCTGTGCTTTTTGTGTTCTATGCAAAATTATTACTCCTATCATTTAGAAAGGTGGCTATCTCCTGCTCTCAGACTTCCAAAAAATATTTTGGAAGTCTTATTTGCTGGTAAGGGAAGTTCCTGAAGGGGAAAATCCCATGAATGTGAAAGACCATTTGGGGAGCGAGTATCAGAAAGGTGCAAAGGCAGCGAATTAGTACTTGAAAGGTGTAGCGGACAAGGGCTCTCAAAGTGTGGCTCCCTGGACAGCAGCATCAGAATCACCCAGGTATCTCACTCCAGTGAAATGTTTATGCATACCCAACAGAGCCTATACTGATCCTACCTACCATTTAATTTTTTTGTTTGAATTAGCCTATCGTCCTTGATTTTAGAAAAAGAATAACGAAAGATGACTAATAAGCGATTCCTTTGTGCATTTCAGAAACATCCCCCTTGCCATAGGTATATCCATGGCCATCGTCACCATCGGCTATGTGCTAATGAACGTGGCCTACTTTACGACCATTAGTGCTGAAGAGCTCTTGCTTTCAAATGCAGTGGCAGTGGTAAGTCCAAGTTGGGGAAATGCCAATTTGAATTTAGGTTAATGAGTTGATGCAATTTTATACTAGTTCCTTCCAGCAGAAAAGGGTTTTGAAATTCAGTAATCTTTTCTTGACCTGAATGATAATGAGCATCTTAAAAAAATTAGAACACACCTTAGCATATTCCATTTAACTGATACAGCTAAAATCCTATACGATTTCTCTGTAGTGTTAATGTCATGTAGGACATTTCTGCATATACATGCTTGAAAACACATTTCCACATATACACAGTCTTCCAACATGTCTTTAAGGACAGGTAGGCAGAATTTAAAAGAATGCAGTTTGGGGTATGCAAATTGCAATTATTCTGTACTCTTTCCCATTTGTAAACTTTTCAAACATTTTTCCCAAAGTACCACTTCAGGAATTTCCAACTTGACCGTATATATTTGTTTTTTCTCTTACATCCTTTTGAATACTAGTCATGGGATATTATTAATTTGGGGGAATGATGAGTTATTCAAAGTTACACAGATATCATTGCTGTAGCACTTCTCAGAATAATAAAATGCTAATATACATTTTTAATTCCTTAAAAAGTGGATACTCATAATTTTACATTTTCCAAAATTTATGACACTTCAGAACTGTCTTTGCTCCCAAAGGTCGTGTTATGGGACTGTTATTCTGTGACACATACTTTTATTATGTATAGAACCGTAGGTAGTAAGAGAGCCTTCACTTATGACCTCATAACAATGAAGCGGGGTAAAATAACTTCCAATCATTAGCTGTCAGTTCCTTTAAAAATAGTCACTATTACCTCATATCAGCAACATCCATGGGGAACAAATGATCTCATTTCACATGAACCTATGTATGCGTTCACTGCAGTTAAAAAAGGCTTCAGCCAGTGCTGTAAGTTCTAGCAGACACCCACATGTACAAGGCTTACTGCTGTCCGGCCACTCATCTCATCTTATTGGACAGAGAGAGGGCCGCACTTATTCCTTGAGCGTAATGTGGTCCATTAATTACACAGCACCAGCTGCATCAAGGACAAGTAAAGAATCCCACTTTTTTTTTTTTTTTTTTTTTTTTTTTTTTTTTTTTTTTTTACAGTACAGCCTTTATGTCATGGCATAAAAGGAAATTTCGGAAGTTTTGTTTATCCGTTGTCTTTTCTGTGGCTTGATTTCCTTGGACTTGTATTTGTAGTCTAGCCTTTTCATGGGAAACACAGAAGGAATTGCCAGATAATTGATTTGATAAACACAGATTCAGCTGATGTGATTATTCTGGGCAAAAGATTTTCAGAACATTTCATAGATATGATATCAATGATTAAGTCATCAGTTATTTTCTGCCACACTTTTACGTCATGACGGTGGGATTGGCATATGAAACAAGTGTCCATCATTCTTCTCAGTGTCCGTTTGTGCTTCACTATCCACATGTGGCTTTCTGGGCTAAAGAGAAGGTATTGTGCAAAAGGATTTCTGTCTCCAAAAGCAGAAGTTTTTCTGAAGAAGCTTTTTCCACTTACCAGAATGATAGAAGATTTTGGCCACAGTTTATAAAAATTCGGTAAATGGATCGTTGCCTTTTGAAAGCAAAGAATAGGTACTTGTTTAGACCTTTGCCCACATTTTTGCAACAAGCAATGCCATGGCACCTAATTTTGATTATTGTCTGCGGAGTTAGTCTGACCCTAACCAAAGAGAAGGATTATAAAACATACACATATCACCAGGCTAATAGAAAGTCATAGAGCGAGCCTGGCATACATTGTTTCCTTTTATGCCACTTTCTGGCAAAGCACGAGTTCACGTCCTTCTGTCTTTCACTAGACCTTTGCTGAGAGGCTCCTGGGAAATTTCTCATTAGCAGTTCCCATCTGCGTCGCCCTCACCTGCTTTGGCTCCATGAATGGGGGTGTATTTGCTGCCTCCAGGTGAGTGAGTTCAAGCATTTTCAGAAATGTATTTCTGTTTTTGAGATTGGATGTGGTAAGGATGACTTTACAAAGAAATAGTGCCTCCTAACCTGTTGTTTTTAAAGGGACAGGCAGGATTGAAGTCTTTGTCCAAGTAGCAACAGTATGTCTCCTTCTGCCCATTAGAGGGCACTGCGCCTCTACTCATAGCCCAGTCTGAAGCTGGGCCTGTGGCATTTTTTTTATAGTATGTCTACGGAGTCTAACAACAGCATTTTATTTCTGGTGATAAAATCTGTTGTTTCTCTAAAGGTGACAAGAAAAAAAGTAAAGTAAGAGATGCCAGAAATCACCACTTCACCCTATCTCTGTCCCTATTGCTTTCTTTGATGTAAAAGTACCTTTTGTTTTAATAGAAGATTAAAACCCAATCAGATAAATATGAATGTTAGATGTGTTGTCATCCTTAAAAATGAAATAGCCAGTTGTTTACCAGAAAAATGAGATTATTCGGAAATAGCAGAGGAATCGCAATTCAGAACGTGCAAACTACGGCAAAACCACAGGAGCATCCTGAGAACAAAGGAGAGGGGCTTGCTTTTACAGAGGAAGGGAAGTCGTTGGGAGTGGAGTTTTGATGGAAAGGCCGTTGGAAGAGAGTGAGATTTCAGGGTTGCTGTGGCTTCTCTCCAGCTGGGTTATTGCTAGGCCAGGAGATAATGTCTTTTCTCCTGTTGGGGGAGTGAAGAAGGCTTCTTCCTGTTGAGCTCCCCTTTCAGGCCCTCCCAACTCTATTTTAAATGAGGTTTCCTTTATTCATGTTCACAGTGTGTATGTACGTGTGCATGCAAAGTGCGTGTGCATGCGCGTGTGCGTGTGTGTGTGTGTGTGTGTGTGTGTTGTTTTGGTTGGATAGACAGCACACCTACAGTACTGGGAACCTAGAACTAAATCCATTATCAGCTATTTATATGTAGGGAGAGCCATGCTGAGTCAGATATGGCTATTGTTTCTTCTCAAAGAAGAATATAACAGTTGGCAGATTTTATAAAATTCTAAGACAGCCTTCTCATGATGGTCTCTACCTTGTCTGAAAAGTGAAATCTAAGTAATCATCTAAGAAATGTCAAACCGTTTGGGATGAAAAAGATGCAAGTTTTATCTTAGGGTTCTGGGAAATTTTCCCCCCTGCCGTGATCAATTATGCAGTCAACTCCACCCCTGTTTTTCTCCCACCAGGTTATTCTATGTTGCGTCTCGAGAGGGTCACCTTCCAGAAATCCTCTCCATGATTCATGTCCGCAAGCACACTCCTCTGCCAGCTGTTTTTGTTTTGGTAATGCACATTAACAAGTGTCTCTCGATATAACCTCTAATAGCAGGTTAGCAAAGCGGATCTCGCCCAGACATCAGAGTGCGTGACTTTCTCATTCATTGAGAAACGGGCTCTATGGAGATCTTGGCAGCGTGTGGGAGGCAGGGTGTTTTCCGCTGCTTCCCTGACTCAGTTTTGCTGATGCATATTTGATGGTATGGGGCAAGAGCCGCATCACTTTTTCTTCACCTTTGTAGAAAGTAGTGAGGTGTAAGGGAAATTAGTTTGGCTCCTACCATTGACAAAGGACCTGGTAGAAAAGGATGCAGAGTAATAAATCCCAATTCTGAGTGCAGAGAGTGGAGCTGAAAACTATAGTCCAAAGTGACCCAGATGTCGCATAGGCCCCTTATAATGAAATCACACAAAATTATAGAAAATGCAACGATGAAATTCTAGACAGTGCAGCGATTCAGTGATTAAAAGTGAGACCTTTGAGAGCAACCCTAGAGGGAAGAAATAAAAGCACCGAAACTTAAATTTCAGTTGTAGGATTCTTTATGCCGAGAATAGCACCTGTGAAACATGGGATACAAAAGACTGCGTAAGGTGTAACAGTCCTCAAACACCCACTGGCAATGTTATGGTCCCTTTGTGCCTACCATTTTTGTAACCTTTTTCTCAAATGCAATCTGCTGCCAGAATTCATGGAACATTTCTTCTCCATGCATTTAATTTGTTTGAAAATGTTTCCTTGAAATTTCTTTGTAAAGTACACAGTACTCTTTGTGAGGAATCCGGAAGGCAGCGGTCACTTGTGGGAACAGAATGTATTATTCCGTGAAGAGGGCTTTGCTTTAAGCCTCTGCTATCAGTCATGTTCTCCTCAGCGTGCCCGGCAGAGACTCGCTGTGCTGATCTCTGCGCCGCATTCCTTTGTGCGGTCCTGCGGGTCACCCGTGGCAAGCACACGGGGAGAGGGAGCGTGGAGGAAGGAGAGGCCGACGTTTTGCATTCAGGGCCTGGCAGAGGCACTGAGAAGTGGCCCGTGTTTCATGTGTGCGTGGCCAAGAGCAACACAGACCCCATTGGCAGAGCTTTCTGCAGACTCTCCAAGAGGGGACACTTGTGATGTTTATTATTAATTATTTACTAGTCACCTCTGGGTCCTTACATTTTCAGTCACTGACTGTGACTTTGAAAATATAGTCTCTTCTGTCCAATATAAAAGCAACTAAACACCAAACATCCATATAAAATTCCTTCTCAATAAGTGGCAGGGACGATGGCCCTCTCATTCTGTTACTGACATAGAAAGGGATTTTAAGAGCAGAATATGGAAAGGAGGTTAGGTTTTAATCAACACGGTAGTTTATCAGTATAAGTAATCATTTGAAAAGGATAGTAAGAATGTCTAGGTATGTGATGCTTTGCTGTCACCTGTGTTCCCTGTAACTCACCGAGTGTGGTTTTGTCCCCCTCCTCGCAGTATCCTCTGACGATGGTGATGCTCTTCTCTGGGGACCTCTACAGTCTTTTGAATTTCCTCAGTTTTGCCAGGTGGTTTTTTATTGGGCTAGCGGTTGCTGGGCTGATTTATCTTCGATACAAACGCCCAGATATGCATCGTCCTTTCAAGGTAACCTCAGCAATCTTGATGGGTTTACATAAATCTTTCTCCTAATACCTAGTCCTCCCTTTGTCATAACTTGATGATGGGGAGCTTGGGCGGGCGGGGGCACCATCCTCTGTCATCAGGTGTTTAACTGTTGCAGGTAGTGCCTTCAGATTGGACTGATTTTCCCTTGGGAAATAGTTCATCACATTGTTTTATGTGCTGTGCTGAGCTCTTTAAAAAGAGGTGGTATTAATAGAGGATGTTTGTTATGCTGGTTTTTCATGACATGTCCAATGACCTGATAAATTCAAAGCATGGGATACTCTGATCTCTCTTTACGCTGAACATTTGTGGACAGCCAGACTGAGAAAGAGAGATGCCAGTATGTATGGAATTGTGTCACTCTTTAAAACTCTAAAATGGATGCCGCTGTACAAAATAGGCATTTTCAGTATTTTTAAAGGTTATGACTTATTACATTGCTCTTTTTTTCTACATTATACACTCCAGAAGGAATAAAAATGTAAAATATAGAGGGGAAGCGAAGGTGTATGAACTTACCACTTAATTGAAAGCACAGTTACCATAACTAAGCATTCCTTTGGGGAGGGTTGAAGAATACCCTTCTCACCTGTCTCCTTCAGCCTCCAAGAGATTGATTTGGCCTCACTGTTCATTTGCTTTGAAGAAATAACAGATCAGTTTGTCAGTTACATTGTCAGAATTTGTTTCTAATTATATTCATTGCCTAATCCTGGCAACATCTTCATTAGCGGTCGAATAGGAGTTGGCCTGTTTTGTTCCTGTCCTCTCTTACTGTGAATCTCCAACAGAAAATCAATTTTCCCTGAAAGGATTTAAGATGTAACTAGCAGCCCATGGTCTTAGCTCCACATTAAAGTGGACTCTAATCATAAAGAGCTCATTTTTTAATACCAAAAACAGAAATTATAGTAGTACTTAAATCAGGACTTCTATAATGAAACACACTTATTTATCCTTAGAGTTTTTTCTATCCAAAGATTTTTTTTAATTAAGGGAATATCTATAATAATAAAAGTGTAATATGCTAATTAGACCGGACAACCAAACAACCTTCCAGATGTCCTTCCAGATGACCTTCTGGACAAAGCCGAGGCTGAGAGGGCCAAGCCCCTTGCAAGAATTTTGTGCATCAGGCCGCTAGTGTTTAATATATTCTCTGTGTCCTTTAAAGAGACTTCGCTACTGCCCAGCCAGCATGGCTCAGTGGTTGAGCATCGACCTATGAACCAGGAGGTCATGATTCTATTCCCGGTCAGAGCACATGCTTGGGTTTCAGGCTTGATCCCCAGTAGAGGCATGCAGGAGGCAACTGATCAATGATTCTCTCTCATCATTGATGTTTCTATCTCTCTCTCCTTCTCCCTTCCTCTCTGAAATCAATAAAAATGTCTTTAAAAAATAAAGATACTTTGCTACTAAAGTAAGGTAGGATGGTGCCTGTCACCTGGTTGTGTATGTCACTCAATGTAATGACTGATGGGCTCACCTTGAACCATTGTCCATCCCTTGCACTGTGTTAAAAGTGATTTTTTTTTCTGTGTTGTGTTCCAGGTGCCGCTGTTTATCCCAGCTTTGTTTTCCTTCACGTGCTTCTTCATGGTTGCCCTCTCCCTCTATTCAGACCCCTTTAGTACGGGGATTGGCTTCATCCTCACACTGACTGGAGTCCCCGCATACTATCTCTTTGTTATCTGGGACAAGAAGCCCAAGTGGTTTAGAAGACTGTCAGGTAAGTCTTTGAACCTTTTTACAGACCATGTTGTAGAAAATTCTTCTATGTGTACACCCATGACACACGTTTCTCAAAGTTCAAATTTATAAGTGGGACAGCTGCTAGTGTGAATGCGTTATTGCATTTTCATTAGAACTGGAAGAAAGAAAAGTGGAAGGATGTTTAAGGTGCAGCCACTGATGGCTTTCAGGGCAGTATTCAGTTGGGATGCTTAGTCACTTCTTAGGACAATGGCTTTCATAGGAAGAATTTTATCAGCATTTCTGAAAACGGTCTCATTGCTCTTATGAATCCTTTCCTAACCTGATTCTTTTTATTCTGGGTGGAATGCAGGTTAGTGATTCTATATCATAACAGACTACTTGATGAGTGATATGAGATTTGGTAGGGAGTTAGGCAGAGACCTGCAAAGGTCTTAAATCTCATGATTACAACTCCACCCTATTTAATAGACATGGTAAGTCACACATGCGTCACAAGACCAGCGAGAACAAGGAAGAGAAGAATAACAGCTCTCATTTACTGTGTGACTCTATGGATTAGCACATACATGACCTTATTTATTCTTTAAAACCCGTAGGCAGGAAAATTATTATTTCTATTTTATAGACTTTGAGTTATAGCATGGGAGAACTCACACCACTTCTTACACATCACATAGATATTAGGTAGAAGAGCTAGAACTCAAACTCAGGCAGTTTTATGCTGTAGGAAAATCATCCTGGAGGCAGGGAGGCTGGGTTAGAGGGAGTCGAGGCTGAAGACAGACAGTAGAGGCTAGTTGACTCAGTAATCCTGACGAGGACAGAGGAGGGTCTGAACTCAGGGTGTCAGCAGGGTCCAAGAGAAAGGGAAGATATTAAAGAGGAAATGCCCACAGAGCTTGGTGACCAGGTAAGTTGGAGGAGAAAATAGTAGATCAGTAGGAGGAAGGGTGCTTAGGAAGGAACAGCCCCGGTGGGAAGCCCAGCCCTCTGTCCCAGACTCTGCTGAGGGAGCCCTTTTCCCCACGTCATCATCTCTCTTAATCCTCCACAAGATCCCGCGTGAGGTGGTGTTACTCCTACAGCCGGGTGGGGAACTCGGGATTCAGGGAGGGGGGATTTTATTTTTGAGTGTACAGAATTTAAACCATTGAGCTAGGATTTGAATCCACATCTGCTGGATGAGGTGCCTGGGGGGACGAGAGAGAGGGGTCAAAAACACAACCCGAGAAGCAGACAGCTTCTTGCTGGTGAGTTTGGTGAGTTTAGAAAACAAGTTTTGTTCTCATTTGTTTTAACTTACTTATTTTACCATAATTAATTTTTTGAAGTTCAGCAAAAAGTTCAGAGATATTTTTGGTAAAATTGTTTATAGATAATGTTAATGCTACTAAAAATGAAATAAATAACAATTTGGTATACGTATTGAATTTCTAGTGTGCTACACGAACTCCTTCAGAAGGCAGTTATTTAAAATAGAGTTTTGCTACTATTCCTCTTTATTAGTTTTTAATTGGTATTTGGTATCTTTAGACCTTTTATACACTATTTATACTGAAATTTGTTTTCTAGCCGGCAACACTATTCCCCAAAGAAGTGTTACTATGAAAATTAGGTTCTTTAAGGCTAACACAGGCACACTGATCGCCTTGCAGGGTATTTAATCTCTATTTCTTGTTAGATCACATTCATTTTCTATAGAATGGTTTTAGTTATGTTTTTCCACTTGTAGACAATACAATTCTGAAAAAAAAACAAAAGACTTGGTAAACAGTACTTACCATTAGGATTGCTCTCCTCATTACCAATGTTCAGGACAGATTAACGCTCATCACTATGAGATCTGTGTCTATCTCAGATCCTGGCCAGAGACAGTTAAAACCCTTGAGCACCAAAGAGAACCAAGAGAATGCAGGATGAAAGAGCTGGCAGCCCTAGGGTTGGGCCACATCGAGAAGGGAGCACTGTGAAGGAGCAAATTCCTTGCTTGCTCCCACGTAGTAGGCATTTTGTTCCTCCTGTTTGTAGCCAGCCTACTGCAATACTTCTTTCCTTTTGCTAACATGTGCGTACTTTATACCACGTTTTTGTGAGTGCGTGCTTATTGCTATGTTCCACGCTTGATCTTTCTTTGATGTGTTTTCCTGCTCATGTAATTTTCAAGTTTGGGGTTATTTTTCTGTCTCTAATGATGTTTTGATCATCTCCAAGGACTCCAAATTTAGTGTTAGCCACTTGTGAACGTAGCAGCAATGTAGTAGCCCCATAATGATTATTTGGTTCCCAAAAATGCCATTAAGCCTCACCAAGGAACATGACAATTCTGCCGTTTAAACTGCGATCATTGTCACCCTTTATCTTTACAGCTGCCTTGAAAGCCTTTCCTCAATTTTGTTTGATTTCCCTCTTAGGCAGCATTCTTGTAATAAAGTAAAATAAAAATTCCTAGTATTTATTGCTGCAATAGCCAGTATTTTCCTCGCCTTTGGCCAAAACAGAACACTCACACAGACACACAGACACACAGACACACAAAACAGTGGAGTCCCGATCCAGAACATCACCTCTCCCCCAGCCACCTCCTTGTCAGAGACAAACTCCGTGTGAACTTGGAGGCCAGAGAGCCTTGGGCAGTTAGTTCAGTGATTACAGATCCGGTTGTCTTGGTGGCTAACATTCTTTAGCCTCTGTATTATCATTTCTCTTTACCCGAATACACACGAACCCATTAGCCCTGTGAAATGTCAGTAGATCAGAACACACCTCGCTGAAGGTGCTTCCATAAAAAACGGGAGGCAAATGGACAGCTCTCAGAAAACGCTGAAAGGCTGCTCAGCCCAGACAGCCAGGGCATGTGCGGAACCCGAGGATGGGAGAGGTTCAGAGATTTGATGAATTCCTCTGGCCACAGGATGCCAGTATTGAACCACGTTCTGTTTGACAGCATTCCTAGGGTGAAATGAAGAGGGGCTCTTGAGGGACTAGACACACAGAAAGCTTTCTCCTGCCATCTGTGACAGCGTGCTTAATTCTCCTGGCCCTTTATGTATTTATTTGTTTATAGAAACACCAGCTTCTCACCCAAGGAAAATGGGGCAGAATAGCCACTGATATATTTAGCAGATAACCGGGTGATACCCAGCCCTGGCAAAACCCAGCCAGGCTCCCAGCAGCCACTTTACTTGACAGTCTGGGTTTACGAGCCAGACCCCGTCACGGCCGAGAGTGAGTGGGGTCACTGGAAGTTGGTCCCTGTTGCTCAGGGCGACAAAGGAGGACAGCTGCATTTAAACAAAGTATTTGATTATAGAGACTCATACTGGGCAGCACCAGCAGAATGACTGTATCCATCTCCGTGATGGTGACTAGGCAATGCCCCAGTCCTAAAAGCATCTGCTGCTTACAGTGTGCTGCGGTGACTTCATTTATGATTCCTCAGTGAAAGCTGCTTAGTGCATTGGACAGACGCTTCATGCAGACTGCAGTGCCACATGTGAGATTAGGTAAGCTTGCCCACATTTCTTGGGGGCCCAAACCATCTTCATTGTAGGATAAAATGAGACCATCCATGTGACAAGGTTTTAAGGTCTTTTTAAAAAAACACACATGCTATTATTCTAATCCCGACTTCTGGGGAAGATGGTTCTTGTGCTAGTATTTCACGACTTCTGGCTGTAGTTCCTGTGATTGTACCAGGTGTGGTTGGGAAATCGGATTCTGCAAGGTCAGTTGTTTCAACTGGTTTCAGGAATACCTACTGAATATGAAAGGTAAAACTGAAAATACAATTGCTGTTTGGTCTTGTACCTTGTAGTGACTGTAAACAGCAAATACAGACTCACTGGCTCTACTTTTTTGAAAGAAATAGTATCATGGTTGATTATCCACAAAGTCGAAGGACTTATATGAGCACGAGTGTAATTGAATGCCACACGCCTGGGCTTTCCTGGAAAGCAGGAAGCTTCCTCAGAGGCTTACTTGTGTCTGTTGAGACCCCACCTAACAGCATAGCTGTAGATAACCTAGAAGAAAAAATTGGTGTGGCTCAAATAGCTACTCAGAGCCCAAATCAGCCACTCCATCCAAACCTCCATAATGATGAAGATTATCCAAATCTTGAGCATAAGAAAGCCACAGGAAACATAGGACTGGTTGAATGTGGAAGAAGAGAAAGGAAGGTGTGAAGAACTAGAAGAGAGTGTTGGCCCCAGATATGCTATTGAATAGAAGATCTAGACTGAACATTCAGGAAGGAGAATGTCACACTAGGAAAGCAGCAGGGTCCCAGCACTGCTCTCCCTTTGTCTCTAGACCCAATGCAGTGTTGTGACCTGGGTAAGCAAGTTGGCTAAGAAAACAAAGTGCTGATGGTCCCAGAATAGAGAAATACACTTTGCAAGAAGCTTCTGTTTGGACATGGAGGAGCAGATTAAAAAGTCAGTTATTAAAAAAAGAAGAAAGGAAAATCTCAGTAGATAAATGCATGGACACACACACACACACACACACACACAGAGCAGTTGTGGAGATAGTTCAGCTAGCTACAGCAGACTTCTCCAGTGAGGAAAAAAGGGTTGATGAGGATGTCGATTTAACCCCACTGTTTTGCATTTGACCACTGCAGACAACTACAACCCTTGTTTCACCCTATCAGATGACTCTAGCTCCTTCTCTGCCTATAAAGCCACCTCTTCCTACTATTGATTGACACTTTTCTTCTATTTGTTTTTCTAGGATAATTTTACCATTTCCCTTTCCTGTAAGCATGGAGTTTTATTGCTCTTGAGTGTTCCCTTGTGCTTCATGTATATTTCAATGTAGAATGGGCTGTGACAAAATCTAATTTATTTGCGAAACATTTACATAGAGTTTACCGTTTGCCAGAACTGTGCTGGGCCCTGTATCATCAATGGATAGTATAAAAATTAGTATGCTGAGGAAAACAACTGTTACAAAGCAAATGATGGTATTAAATATTGCTTGGAAGGTACTATTACAGGTGACAAGTCATAA